CAGAAATTCACGGAGTACCTGCGTCGGGCCGAGGAGATCCGGGCCGTCCTCGACGATGGGCCCAGCGGCCCACCTTCCTCCGGGGATGCTGCCGTCGCTACCAGGCCCAAGACCAAGCCCAAGGACGGCGCGGGCGGCGACGGGGAGGATCCTGAACAGACCAAGCTCCGGGCCGGGCTCAACTCTGCCATCGTTAGAGAAAAGCCCGACGTGAAGTGGAACGACGTGGCGGGGCTTGAGAGCGCCAAACAGGCTCTGCAGGAAGCGGTTATCTTGCCCGTGAAGTTTCCTCAGTTTTTCACCGGTGAGGTTTTGACTTTTTTGTTTTTGATTGTGCGATTGAAGGAAGGGTGACGTTGTAACCTGAAACCTGAAGTTTTAATTTTCTGCTGTTTGGTGGATGGTTTGGTTGGTTCAGGTAAACGACGACCTTGGAGAGCGTTTTTGTTGTACGGACCACCGGGGACGGGTAAATCGTATTTGGCCAAGGCTGTTGCAACAGAAGCTGATTCTACGTTCTTCAGGTGGAGTTTTTAATTTTCTGTTGTTTAAACTTGATTAAATATGTGTCTGGGTGAGGTTTTGCAAAATTGATTTTGGAGTGATGCGATTTAGATGTTTGTGTGTTAAAAGCAAGTTACGGACTGAACTTTGTGTTTGTTCGGTTTCATCTTGGATTTTCCACAATCATGTTAAGATACCACCGTTGATGTGATTTTAGATTAATTTTTGTGGGTTTAGTTTCACGATGAGGAATACAGAGTTGGTCATGAGTTGAAACAAATTTTGATAGTTTTCGCATTTGGATAAAAAAATTATACTAAGTTTTGATAATACTAACCTGCTTTTATAATGAAAATATCTAAATGTAAATCACTCCACTTCACAATCAATTTTAACCACAATCAATTCATTAAACTATCAAGTTTGCCATCGTAAATCCAAACACACTTGTTAATTCAATGCATTTAGCTTAAGTCACTTAAACTCAAGCAATTCTAGATCCAAAATACCAACATTAATGTTAAACCACATTAGTTAAAATTTCAACATGATTTTGTGAGAAGAGAAGTCCAACATCAAGAAAATTTACTTTGGTACTCAATTTCCTTGTAACAAATGAAACATCGTGTTGTCATAGTAAGACATCAAAATCACTCCCTTTTCTCTTTTATTGTCTCAATGCTTGGGAAAAAAATTAAGTGAGGAAAAAAACAATTTCTGCTTTTAAGGTTCTCCTAGTAGTTGTTTCTCCATTTCCAAGTGTTATTGTTCTCTCGGAATTAGAGAGTTGGTATTGCAATTTTTCTTTCCTTTAGTGAAGTTACATTATTGTTTATTTGTCTGTTTTGTTCCTCTTTTCAACTTTTATTTTCGTTGATTCCTTATGCTATTACTCTACCTTTTAACAAATTCCGGTTTATCCAATGTGAATTGAAACACTCTAAGTTTGGTAGATGAATGTGTGTTCTAAAGGATGATTTCACATCATCATCAACATTGTTATTGTTAAAATTTTCAATCTGAGTGACATTGTTTTCCACATATTCATGATTATGATTGATTTAGTTCCTTGTGCTTGTGCATGCAAATCAAAAAGTTATGTCTTCACAATGATTTTGTATGGAAAAATAAGGTTGTAAACGTGAGTGCTTAGGTGGGCCTTTTTTTTGCAGCATTTTTTAACTTTTGAGTTCTTCTCCAGTGTTTCTTCATCAGACCTGGTTTCAAAGTGGATGGGTGAAAGTGAAAAGTTGGTTTCAAATCTTTTTGAAATGGCTCGTGAAAGTGCACCTTCTATCATATTCATTGATGAAATAGATTCTCTGTGTGGTCAGCGTGGCGAGGGTAATGAGAGTGAGGCTTCAAGACGAATTAAAACTGAAGTTCTGGTGCAGATGCAGGTAATAAATTTATGGTGCCAAGTTTTTATGGGGATATGTTGATTAGATCAATATTTTTTACTTTACATCTGAATTGCAGTATGCGGAACTTGTATACTGGTTTAGGATGTTGATGAACTATCCTTACTTTATTTGAAGAACAGGGTTAGAATAATTAAGTTTCATCTCCTCGTCAGTAGTTTAGGTTTTTATTGTTTCCTATAATAAGCCATCTAGAGCTATCTGCACCTTACCTTTTGTTGTTGGGATATCTGTAAAATATCTCATTTGTGTCTTAGAATGTTTGGGAAAATCTTAGAATATTAATTTGTCGCTTCTTTGAGTTAGTAGCCTTTTCATATTAGCTGGAGTAATACTAACTATACTAGTCCTATTTCTTTTAATAATTATTCTTTTATAATAGCTAGGACTAATGCAGAGAGTAAATTACATGGTTCTTAATCCAGTGAAAAGGGAGAAAGAGTAACCAAGAAGATAAGAGGAAGTTTTTAAGAAGAATCATACGACGTATAATATTTTAGTCTTCAATTGAGTTGAATGATATTGTGTGATTCATGTTTTATCATAGAAAGGTCTGTTATATTAGACTTTCTACCATATCAATTTAAGATTATCATTGTCTTTATTCTCTTTCTCCGTTTCCTTGCCACTTGAACTCATAAATTATAATACAAACAATTGTTATACTTGATATACTCTACAAATTTCTTATAGTATTCCATTATTGTGCAAATTGCCTTATATCTACATCTATTATATTCTTTTTTGTATTTCCTTGTTTCCTGAAATTGTGACTCTTGACATAAATTATTCAATATTTTAATTGTTTGAATGTTTGCAGTTTTTTTTTTGGGCATCCCATTCGCTTGACTGGCCAAGCCTAGATTTGGTTAATAATATTATTACCCTTTTTTTAACTAAAAAAGAATCTTTAAAGTGACATATTGGATGATTTTTAGACATACGGAAAGTTGCGTGCACTTTTTGATTAATGACTCAAGTCTCGTCGTATCTTTTTTTTTTTTTTTTCAAAAAAAAAGGTGTTCGAACTATCCTCTCCCCCTGTAATTAACGTTATTATGCATCCTTAGTTGTTCTAATTCAGAAGATTCAAGGTTTCCATCATAATGTATGTTTTCCATTTTACGATGTAGGGTGTAGGACACAATGATCAGAAAGTTCTGGTTCTAGCGGCTACAAATACACCTTATGCTCTAGACCAGGTAAAAAAATAGTTCTGGTTACTAGTTCTTATTGAGTCAACGGGATGATTCTATTTATATTAATCAAGTTGTTATTGTAGGCAATAAGGCGACGTTTTGATAAGCGAATATACATACCCCTACCAGATTTGAAGGCTCGCCAACACATGTTCAAGGTATGGGCAATATACACGATGATGTTCATTGAAGGATTGGTCATGTTATGTATTGTGAACCTAGCAAACGGTCTTACTATGTCTTTTTCTTGGTTCATAAATTGAACAGGTGCACCTAGGAGATACTCCCCATAGTTTGACAGAAAGTGATTTTGAACATTTGGCCCGCAGGACAGAGGGGTTTTCAGGTTCAGATATAGCTGTCTGTGTAAGTTGAACTTCTATGAAATACCTGGTTACGATGATAATTTTTATAATTATATGAATTTTAAGGCAGATGTGATTTTGCCTGTTCTACAGGTCAAAGATGTTTTATTTGAACCTGTTCGCAAAACCCAAGATGCCATGTTTTTCTTTAAGAATCCTGAGGGCATGTGGATTCCATGTGGACCAAAGCAACAGAGTGCAATACAAATTACAATGCAGGAGCTTGCTGCGAAAGGACTTGCTTCACAGGTATTCAAGCTGATACAGATTTTGATGACAGTAGGACTCCAGAATTTCATTTTCTTACTCATTATTGAAGAGTAATAATTTTTATGTTCCTGTCTGTTCCACAGATCCTGCCACCACCTATATCGAGGACAGATTTTGACAAAGTACTTGCTAGACAAAGACCCACTGTAAGCAAGGCCGACCTCAATGTTCATGAGAGATTCACAAAGGAGTTCGGAGAGGAAGGATAATTCTGACGGAATTCTCCTTCGACTATCTGCACTAGTTTAAACGTGTTATTATTTGTAATTTACAGAACTATTGGATCAAGTGAAGTGCATAATTCTACTTCTCATAAATTGTGTATAAAAACAGTCTGAAATTCTCAGAAAAATAAATTTCATGTGAATATGTGGTACCGGTTACTCATGTTTGTCTGCATTTCAATGGAGGATTCACAAATTTTAGGGTTTCTCAGGTTTGAGTGTTTTTTCTCAAATTCTAAGGGGGTCGAGAATTTTGGCTGTTGTGCTTCACCAAGTTGTAACAGACATAGTTTCGATACTTTCTAAGAAACTGTCATTAACCATAAAATATAGTTTTCAATCAGTTGTGAGATTAGTTTACACTTCAAATTACCTAAAAGAGCATGTAAATTGTATAAGATGTGATTCATCGATATGAAAATATTCCTGGTAAGGTCATTTATGGACTTGTAAGGCATCGGTTTCCTGATATAGTTCGAAGTCATCAACAGAAACAGATAGCTTTTAATTAACCTGTTTGTTTGAATCTTCGGGACGGCCAATTGATGATTTGAAGTAACATGTAAGCTGTCTGGTTACTGTCAGTTCTTAGTGTGAGGGAGGTGATCTGCCAAATGGACATATAAAATCAAAATGGTTTGTCATATCCTTTTCAAAAGAACAGGGACAATTATGATGTAGATGCAAAGTAAGAAAAACCATGCGAAACATAAATTTTGAGAAAGCATGTTCAGATTTTTAGTGCTTCACTTTTTTTTACTATTAACTATTTTCTGATTTAAATATATAAACTTTTATAATTTTCTTATTTGTTTATCTTATGCAAGTCAAATAAACATCATAAAAGTAGTTTATTTTTCTTAATAATAGAACTGTGTGTGAATTTTTGGACAAAACTATATTTATCTCAACAAAATTGTGTTTTTACCCACAATTAAATGATTCCAAATTAAACGAATCCATTTTTATTGAACCGGTTTGATTTGGATTTTGCATTTTTCTTTTGAAAACTTCAAATCAATCTAAACTAATGAAAATAGATTGTTCTGGATTTTATATTTTTCAAAATCTGATTTAACTCAAACACCTATAGCAGAAAAAAATTGAATAACGGAGCATCTTAGGAAGAAGCATGTAGTGATGAACTAAAGTTTTCTTCTTCTGAAAGACTCAAATACACTGTAGCTTTTGGTATCTGGGTGAGCATATGCCATCTGTGGTTGGCAATAACACTCTCAGGTTCAGACAAAGGGAAGACCCGTCGTCCTTTTATGTTTTAAATATTGGACAATTTGTGTTAGTTCTCTGTAATGTAGCTGTGAACGGTACAAGTTTGAATCCAATCATTGTTGGTTATAATTCGTCCAAATGCTGTTAGTTCGTTAAATATATATTCATCTTATCTCCTTTTGTGAATGTCATTTTACTTTCTAAAGAATCCCAATTATACACCAAGTAATAAATAGAAAAATATAAAGCCGGCAACTGATTGAGTTGGTCAGTTTTGGCTATAAAATGGACGAATCACCAACCATAAAATTAGTCACCATTTCCAAGTCCAGCTTTCTATTCTGGACCCTTTCAGTGTATGATGGGGTTTTCCAAAGTTTTAAGCTATTCCACCCTTCTCCTTTTCATTGGGTATACTTTGGTGAATGGATCCAGCCCAAAGGTAAGCAGCATATTTTTCACTTGGACTTGATGCATGCATGCAATGCTGTCTACGTTAGTTGCATGCATGTACAGTCTCTGAGCCACAATAGTAGAAGAATTTGGATTCTTTGATGAGTTTTTTTGGTGCTGTTTCTCTGTTGTGTTTTTGAAATACACTGATGGATACTGGATACTGATTCTGATGTTTTAAAACATATTAAAAAGAAATTTAATTAATATACCAACATTAGTGTATTTTTAGTACTCAGCAAAGGACAACACCAAAATACTCAGTAGAGAATCTGAACTCTGAGTTAAAGCTCTAAACTACTTGTATAGAACTAAACTAACTTTTGGATTTGCATTGATGTAGCATCATATAGTTTACATGGGAGATCATTCACACCCTAATTCAGAATCCGTGATCACGGCAAACCATGAGATACTAGCTTCAGTCACAGGAAGGCATGCAACTGATTTTGAGATAAAATTCATGGAATTAATTATAACTATCAATGTTCTCCTAGTTTTAATTTACTTAAAAAAGGAATAACTTTGGCCAAAATGGATTTCCTGTGTACATTCTTTCTACTTTTCAGCCTGAGTGAAGCAAAAGCAGCAACCATCCACCATTACAGTAAAAGCTTTCAAGGCTTCTCAGCTATGATTACACCTGAGCAAGCCACTCAACTAGCAGGTATTGTATTCCACTGTTATATGCTTCTCTCTTCATCTTTCCACTATATTGGACAAGGAAACAATGAGGGCTTATTCAATATTTTGAAAATGGCCTCTCCATTTAGAATATGTGGCTCCAATGTTGTTGTATTTGCAAAGGTTTGAGAGTGAAAAAACATATTCTATATGAAATTCATCAACCATTTACTTGCTCAGGCTCTGAACAACGCTTTGAATTGTGTTTCAGAACATAAATTGGTAGTGTCAGTTTTTGAGAGCAAAATGAATAAACTCCACACCACACATTCTTGGGATTTTCTTGGATTGGATACTATCTACAGGAACAATTCTAAAGCACTGGACACTGCATCCGAAGTCATTGTTGGTGTCATTGACTCTGGTTAATACTTCCCTTTGCACTCTTTTTTTCTGTCATTTGGATTAAAAATGAGTGACTCAACATTGATTTTCAGGAATCTGGCCGGAATCGCAAAGCTTCACTGATTATGGATTAGGTCCGGTGCCCAAAAAATTCAAAGGAGAGTGTGTCACTGGTGATAAGTTTACACTAGCCAATTGCAACAAGTAAGAACTCTAAATCCATCATAACACGCATTTGAAGCTGTTAAAGCGTAAAGTAAACTCATTCACATTTTTCACTTAACAGTATTAGGATGTCTATGACAAAAAATGGTCTAGATTTCTACTTCTATCTTTGCCAACCTAATTCTTCTAATAAGAAAAACTAGATTTCAGCACAAACAAGATTCTCTTACACGAATGAATGTGTTCAAATTCATCATACAACCTATTCATGTTCCCTCACCCAGCAGGCTAAACTTTTTGGATAGCTGGTTTATGGTAGAAACTTATGGTATGCAATAGATATATGAAGATTGTCATTTGCAAACTATGTCACTCACCTGGAGTTTGGATTTTTCAGGAAAATCATCGGTGCTCGATTCTATTCAAAAGGGTTTGAAGCAGAAAATGGTCCTCTAGACGGTGTTGTCAATAAGATATTTTTCCGGTCAGCTCGAGATAATGATGGACATGGAACACACACAGCTTCTACAATAGCAGGGTCTACTGTTGCTAATGCCAGCTTACTTGGTATTGCCAAAGGAACAGCTAGAGGTGGTGCCCCAAGTGCTAGACTTTCCATCTACAAGGCCTGTTGGTTCGGGTTTTGCAGTGATGCTGATATTCTTTCAGCAGTGGATGATGCTATTCATGATGGCGTTGATATATTATCTCTTTCTCTTGGTCCTAATCCTCCCCAGCCAATTTACTTCGAAGATGCAGTCAGTTTAGGAGCATTCCATGCATTTCGAAAGGGTGTTCTTGTTTCTGCTTCAGCTGGAAATTCAGTTTTTCCACGTACTGCATGCAATGTTGCTCCTTGGATCCTCACTGTTGCTGCTAGCTCCATAGACAGGGAGTTCAGTTCAAACATCTACCTTGGTAACTCAAAGGTCTTAAAGGTGAAGTCAATAACAAACCCTTTTGAAATTTTAACACCAATATATATCAGTCTTAGTTACTAAATTAAGAAAGGTTTATAAACTCCATCAGGGTTCTTCTTTGAATCCAATAAAAATGGAGCACCCGTATGGTTTGGTATATGGAAGTGCTTCTGCAGCTGCTGGAGTTTCAGCAGTAAATGCAAGGTATTCTCTCTGTTATGTGGCTGATCACAAACTTTGTTGTTGATAAATGATTTTAAGTGCAAGACTGTCTAAAGTGACATGATTGAACTTTTAATCCTATTTCCTTGATTTCTCCATGTAACAGCTTCTGCAAGAACAATACTCTAAATCCTACCTTAATCAAGGGTAAAATTGTGATCTGTACAATCGAGAATTTCAGTGATAACAGACAAGATAAGGCCATAGAAATAAGGAAAGGTGGGGGTGTTGGAATGATACTTATTGATCATAATGCCAAAGATGTTGGTTTTCAATTTGTCATCCCAAGCACTCTCATTGGTCAGGATGCTGTAGAAGAGCTCCAAGCATATATAAAGACAGATAAGTGAGTTTCAAAAGTTTGACAAATAGAGCAATAGATCTCTAATATCAAAGTTAGTCACACTTCATTTCAGAAGATTGATCCATAAAACATCGTCCGCTAATGCTTTATAATGTCAGGAATCCTACTGCTAGAATCTACCCAACGATAACTGTAGTTGGTACCAAACCAGCACCAGAAATGGCAGCCTTTTCTTCAATGGGGCCAAACATAATAACACCAGACATTATTAAGGCAAGTTTACTTAGACTCGTGTATATTTAGACTACTGCATGCACCGTATTCTTCCTAGTTAACCTTTTTGTTGACTCGGAAAGGATACAGAGGACATAGTGTTGAAGGTTGATCCTATACTCATGTATGCTAATTAGTGTGCTCTCATCCAACTCTACAGCCAGATATCACAGGACCTGGAGTGAATATTTTGGCAGCATGGTCCCCAGTAGGAACTGATGCCACAGTTGAACAACGACCTGTCAACTACAACATCATTTCAGGAACATCAATGTCTTGTCCACACATAACTGCAGTTGCAGCAATTATTAAATCTCACCACCCATCTTGGGGTCCTGCAGCCATAATGTCTTCAATAATGACAACAGGTAAGTTTTTCACGAGTCCAGATTCTCTACTGGTTTTTTGGCGCTGTCCTCTGCTGAGCATTAACAATACACTTATGTTGGTATAATAAAAATCTTTTAATATAGTTTAAAACATCAAAATGAGTGTGCATCAGTATATTTTAAAGGCACAGCACAAAAAAACCCAATAGAGAATCCAAATTCATTTTTCATGCTTCAAAACTTCCTAGCAACTACCAAAGTCATGAGAATATATGTTTGTTACTTTGATCATCTTAAATTAATGCCGTTTTGTTCCCTATGTTACAGCAACAGTCACTGATAACGCACAGCACCTCATAAGAAGAGAACCAAATGGAACTCAAACCACACCATTTGACTATGGATCTGGACATGTTAACCCAGTCGCATCACTGAATCCGGGATTAGTATATGAATTTAATTCCCAAGATGTTCTGAATTTTCTGTGCAGCAATGGAGCAAGCCCAGCACAAGTTAAAAACCTCACTGGGGATCTTACTCAATGCCAAAAACCTCTTAAAGCTTCCTATAACTTCAACTATCCTTCCATTGGAGTGTCCAACTTGAATGGAAGTTTATCAGTTTATCGTACAGTTACTTACTATGGTCAGGAGCCAACAGTATATTCTGCAAGTATTGAAAATCCATCTGGTGTGAAGGTTATAGTTACTCCAGCAGAATTGAAGTTCTGGAAAACTGGGGAGAAGATAACTTTCAGGATTAATATCTTCCCTTTCAAGACAAGCAATGGAAACTTTGTGTTTGGCTCCTTGACATGGAATAATGGAAAACAAAGGGTTAGGAGTCCTATTGGTGTCAATGTACTCTCTACTTAATGTGGAGTGCTTCTTGGTCTGTATCATTCTTGGGTTTACACCTAAGAAAATGCATTTATTTATATCGCTTTCATTTCTGCAAGAAAAGAAAGGTTCAACTGAAACCAATATTGTCTGATTCAATGGCAGCAATGTCAACTTCTATTGCCTGTGATCATCAGTGCATATGCTCTCTGAATCATGGTAAAAATATTTAGTATTGTATTACATAGGTTAAGGACACTATATCATTGTGTTCTTCCATGATGGTTAACAAAAACCTTGTTCTGTTGTTGGCAAGCGTACCAAATCATACAAGTAGTAAAATAAAAAGTTCAAGTATCCTTGTCCAAAGAGACTTGCACAATACTAGCAAAGTATACGACTTCATACAATTTAGAGATATTAACTTCAGAATTTTGTCACAAAGATGACTATGAATTTCTTAAAAGTAATTTAAGAAATTTTATTGATAATCCACAATTCATTCTATAATTCAACAACGCAATCTACTTTAAGTTCAGTGATTAAAAGATGACCAATAAACCATGATCTATTCCTAGATACACAATTCACAGGTTTAGCTCAAGTTAAGGTAATGAAATTATTTCCAATCACAAACAAAGTCCAACAAAAAGCTATAGGTAGTATCTACAACTGTTGGAAGTCTCACATTGACTAGAGATAAGACCAATTAATAGTTTATAAGTGGGTGCAAACCTCACCCTACAAGCCGGTTTTGTAGGGTTGAGTTAGGCTTAAAGCCCACTTCTAACATGGTATCAGAGTCATGGTTAGAGCCTATCCTAGCGATATTTGTTGTTTGTTGGGCATATTGTTCCACCCGCTATCGGGCCGCTATCGGACCACCCATTAAAAATGCCTAATCCCACGCTTGAGATGTATATACCTCGGCGTGAGGGTGGGGTGTTGGAAGTCCCACATTGACTAGAGATAAGGCAAATTTATAGTTTATAAGTGGGTGCAAACCTCACCCTATAAGCCGGTTTTGTTGGGTTGAGTTAGGCTTAAAGTCCACTTCTAACAACAACAAACAAGGAGATAGAAGTAAAACAATAATGTTAAAGAACAAAATATTTTAAACAAAATTTTAAGTAAGATAATAGCTAGATAAATGCTCTAAATGTTATATAAAGCATTTATCAATGGTTAACCTTTCTCAAAGCCTGATTATGTTTTATGTAAACACACTGTGTTTATTGTGGTTAAACTTTGTCTAGTTTTTGTAATGTTAATGTAGGTCATTATACCATTAACAATTATCTTCAAGGGGATCAAGAAGCATATTACAAATAAAATTGATTGTTTCATTGTGTCACATAGTTTTAATAAATTACTATGACTTGCATTAATTGCTTAATCGATTACATGCTATGCTTAATCTGTTAAATGTGTTAAATGTAATTTTGTTACAACAGTGTTAATTGCTTAACCGATTACATTAATAATATAATCGATTAATTTGCGTCAGAGTTGCTATTTCTATAAATTGACGCATAGTTCTCTGCATTAAACAACTTTTGAGTAATATCTTTCATATCTGATAAAGTTTGTTGAGTTCTTAAATTGCAAGAGCGTCTATTCTCCAAGAATCAAGAAGCATTTCATTTTGAAAGAAATCAGAACATGGGTTCTTGAAGAGTTGCTGAGTTTTCAAAGTCTGATCAATCTGCACTGATAGGTGTACTGCTGGAGGATCAGAATCAATTTGCAATATTGTGAGATTGTAGTTTCTTGTTGCAGCTGGCCAGGAAGAGAACTTCGGAGTTCTAGTTACTTTGAGTGTGGTATCTCAAAGGGGTTGCAAAAAGAGGATTGTTCTTTTTGTGTTTTACTATAGTAGATTTGGAGTTAGGGAGGAGGATACATTGAGAGGGTGTCTTTGTATTGCTTGCTGTAAAAGTAACAACCATTCGCACAATTCTCACCATTGCTCTCTCCAAATCCTAGCCAATTCATCAATTAGATGTTCAGAATGCATTTCTCCATGGTGATCTACATAAGACTGTATACATGCATCAGTCGTTTGGTTTCCGTTATCTCCTTTACCCTAATCGCGTTTCTTGCCTGAGGGAATCTCTTTATGGTTTGAAGCAAGCACCTCAGGCTTGGTATCAACGCTTTGCTGGCTATGTTTCTACCATTGGGTTCCAGCATAGTGTTTCAGATCACTCCCTCTTCATCTACCAATGTGGTTCTAACATAGCATACATCCTTCTTTATGTTGATGACATCATTCTCATCACCTCATCCCATAACCATTGCAAATATATCATGACATTCCTTACCTCTGAATTTGCTATTAAGGAACTTGGTCCTTTGAGTTATTTTCTTGGCATTGTTGTGACAAGACGTGCAAGTGGCTTGTTCCTCGATCAGAGTACCTATGTTAGTGACATCATTGCATGCATTGACATGATTTCTTGCAATCTTTCTACTACTCTGGTTAATACCAAGCAAAAGCTCAATACATCCTTTGGCACACCATATGAGGATCACACTATGTACTAGAGTCTTGTTGACACCCTATAGTATATCACCTTCACTTACCCTAACATTTCATACGTTGTTCAACAAGTTTGTCTTCACATGAATGCCCTATGCACTAGGCACATACTAGTATGATTTGTAGTTTTATTTGTGATTGAGAATCTTATTTCTTATACTGAAGTTGATTGGGGTGAATGTCCTGACACCAGACGCTCCACATTTGGTTACTATGTGTCTCTTGGTGACAACTTCATCTCTTGCCAATGTTGTTTCAGAATCTTGTTGGCTTTGCAATCTTCTCTTAAAGCTTCATTTTCCTCTCCCTCAGGCTACTTTGGTATAATACGATAATGTTAGTGTCATTTATATATCAAATAATCCTATGCAATATCAACATACAAAACATATTGAGATAGATATTCATTGTGTTTGAGAAAAAGTAGCATGCGAACAAGCACGAGTTCTTTATGTACCTTCTCGTCACCAAATATCTTATATCTTCATCAAAGGCCTACATTAGATTCTTTTGAAAATTTTCAAGACCAGTCTAAACATCCGTGCACCTCTCGCTTCAATGACAGACATGTTATGAAATATGACTTATTCTTATGTAATTAACCCAATTCAAAATTATTCTCCTACAATTAAGTTAATTGATTTCCTATAATTAGTTCCTAGTAATTATGCTATGCATAAATCAGAGAGTTGAATATAGTCATTTAACTTCACTATTTATACCCATTTCGAATGAATAAGAAGACACGCATAATATGTTCTTATAAATACATAATAAAGAGAAAAAAAATTATATAAGAAAACACGTTCAAACTATAATATACTATGTTCTTACAAATACATAATCAAGAGAGAAAAGAAATTATACTTATATAAAAGGTTTAATCCTTTTAGACATCCCTATTTGTGCAGGATTGTCTCACATAGGTCCTCGTTTTCTAAAGTGTGTCAAAATGGTCCTTAATTTTGAAAATTGAAATCAATTGAGACCTTCCCGTTAAGTTGGATGGACGGCGTTAAAGAAATTGATGCGTGGGTTGCTGAGATGACCAAATGGTACTGACGTGGCACAGTACTATGGTTGACCTGGCTTTATGGTGAGTTTTTATATTTAAAAAAGTTAAATTTTTAAATTAAAATGCAACGTTTTGATTTTTAACAGAATAAATGAACGTTTTAAATGAAGTAATCCCTAAATTGAAGAAATCCCCAAATTGGTTGATGAGAGCGAGGAGCGAGGTTCGTGTTGGAGGTTGTTGAGCTTGTTGCAAGAAGGGAATTTTCTAAACCTCTCTCAGGAACATACTCGGGATCCTCCTCGCTCAACGACGACGTTTCTGAGCCCTTCTCGCAGGAGACCGGCGACCCTCTCTGCGCCTTCGCCTTCTCTTCGCAGGACTCCTCGTCGCAGCATTGGCCCCTCTTCGATTCAGAGATCGACGATTTGTGCGCAGAGAGGGAGTCCAAGCGGGCGCGGCGCGGGGCGAAAAAGAGCTCGGAGGGGATTCCGGCAACGTCCACGCTCATGGAGGCACAGGAGTTTGGTGAGATGATGGAGCACGTTGACAAGGTCAATTTAGCCCTCGATGGCCTACGCAAGGGACAACCTCTGCGGATCAGAAGGTCGAGTTTGGTTTCGCTCTTGACAATTTGCTCCACTACGCACCAGAGGAGGCTTCTCAGGACTCAAGGCTGTGTCAATTTATCTCCAACTTTCTTTTTTCTTGCCAATATGAAATGGGTCTTTTGTCATGCACTTGTTCTTAGTGTGTGTGTGTGTTTTTATTTAATTTATTAATTTTTCTCTATTATTTTTTTGGAAAGTTTTTTTGGGTTTGTTTTAAAATTTTAAATTTGGAACGGGAGGAGTGATTTGCTGGTTTAAGGTTCGTGAATGTGTGGGGTTTTTGAATTTACTTTTTTAAATATAAAAACTCACCAATAAGTCAGGTCAACAACAGTACTATGCCACGTCAGTACCATTTGGTCATCTCAGCAACCCACGCATCAATTTCTTTAACGCCGTCCAACCAACTTAACGGGAAGGTCTCAATTGATTTCAATTTTCAAAATTAAGGACCATTTTGACACACTTTAGAAAACGAGGACCTATCTGAGACAATCCTGCACAAATAGGGATGTCGAAAAAGATTAAACCTATATAAAACTCACGTATTGTCAAACCATTCATTATTATTAGATCATTTTATTCAAAACTACCATTCGCTTCAAATTTCCTAAATTAAATCATGTTTAAAATTTTATCATTCATGTAAATTAAAAAAAGAAATCATGTAAATTAAAAATATCATATTTGTAAAATTTTGAAAAAAAAAATGAACAAACAATCAAAATAATACATAATTATAATCAATGGTTAAATGAATATTACGTGTACAATTATTGATAGAGTAATAGTTTATGAAGCTATATTGATGGATGGAATAAATTAAATTCTCAATTTATACTAAATTATTAATGATGTAATTGTTAAGGTGAAATTTTATTCTTCTCTCTCGCACACATTGGTTCACAAGTGAAAGGATGGAAAGAACTTAAACTTCCAAGTTCAGCTGTCATTATAATATTCCAGAAAACAATATTACATTACAGATGACAAAAGGATGTAATGAAGAAAAGTTAATGAAA